ACTCAACTTTTTGTAAATCCTCTTTAAGCTTTTGGTTCTCTTCCTCGTGTGACCTTGAAGACTTGTTTAGTGTTTTTACTTCGTTTTCTAGCCTTTTCAGTTTAGTCTCAACTCGTGACAACTCATCTTCGAGGTCCTTCTTCTCATCTTCAAGCGCTTGGATTCTCTGCTTTAGTTGTTCGACCTCCCTGTCTTTTGTGTTCAGTTTGATTAGAAGATCGTTGTTTTTCTCATTGACTTCTTTAAGCTTTTGCTGAAGGTCTTCTATTTCTTTGTCCTTTTCTTGTAGACTTCGTTTCAATTGATTGATCTCAATTTCGTGTTTGGAAGCCAAACCGGTCCCCGGCATTCTACCAGGTAACAATATCTGACTACTAGCCAGAGTGATTTTACTAAGGTCCAAGGTCTCTTGCTCGGTTGCTTGCTTCGTCCCGAGGAGTTGTCGTTCTTCATTACTCATCTTTGTAACTAATATTCGGCGATTGTGGTTGAAACGTTTCCTGAAAGATCAGTTTTCACAGACTTCCTAGCGTTGCTTAGTGCTTACGGTATCAAGAATTCGGCAAAGCAAGACGACGCAACAGGGCTCTCTTTTCTGTCAAACTCTCATTGGCCAAGATTAATCATGTTCCAGGAAATCAGGTTCGGAGAATATTCTACAAAGACTTTCATTCTTTCTTTTTCAATTTCAATTTTTATTTTCAATGTATTACTATTTTACAAATATTTAGAAGTGCTCATAATTCCATTGACCTATACAAATAGAAAAAAAAACTAATCGAGGTAGGTCAATCTGTGCATGTAAAATTCAGTCCGTAAAGATCCGTTAAGGTCCGGAAGGCAATCGGCTTTAACACGATATTTACGCAACATTTCCAGAATGCTGAGAGAACAAGCGTAACTATGTTCCGTTAAGAATGCGCAAATAACTCAACCGTAAAGATCAGTTAAATTTTGTAAAGAATAGGTTTGAAATTTACGGAATATTTCCGTGGTTATAAATAATACCAGGTCGGTCACAGGCGGTACTGCAGATCCGACCATCGATACTGCTCCATGAAGCAATCACTCGGGCAGACTTTTCATGCCTTGCCGCATTCTTTCATTCTTTGAACCAAGCCTCTCATTCAAAAACACTATGTTTCCATAGACACTGGATGTTTGAGAGCGAGGTGGTGTAATCTATTACCAACGTTATATAATGCTTTATAAACTGAAGAAAGACTACTGATATCATCATCATCAAGAGTGATAACTTTGTAGACCTTTTTGGTAGAATGATGTTATTATCAAGTTTATGCCATTCAAAATCATGCAAATGTTCTGCCATTGATGCATAGGTGAGATCAATTCCAAGTTCAACATAATCGGTGACGCCTACTGCTTTCATTGAGTCACAGTTGAAAGAAAAACATCCTCAAATTCGGATGGGAAAGAGACTCAAGATAAAAACCGATCAGAAATAATCTTTCTCATGAGTTCAATAGATCTGCTGTTTATGGTAAAACTGAAAAAATGATAAAAGGTAGAATAGAGAATTAATGATACAAATTTAATTTTTACACTGGCTATCCACGATGATTTGTCTATAAGCATATCTTTTGTTTTGATTTGTAATTATTCCTGTTTTTCTTTATGCTTTAACACTGGAAAAAGTGATCAATTTCCATAGTATGTAAAATCATGTAAAGATGCCGTCAATTTAGATTTACACGATTGTTCCCCATTTACAGGTTTTCATAATTTACATGATTTTTCCATGACCTGTGTTAAATGATAAATTTACATAGTATGTAAAATTCATGTCAATCGAGAATTCCATGAATTTTACATACTATGGAAATTGATCACTTTTTACAGTGTAAATGTAAGCAACCAAACAGACGCACAGTCAATCCCATTGTTCACTTGTAAATTAAGACTTTAAGACAACAACAAAGAAGCATTAAAATGAAAAGTTTTTTAAATTTCCAGAACAAATTCTAATTTTAAACTTTAGATAAATACCGAAGCAATTGTTATTATTATTATTGTTAAGTAATGCTGGAGCTTTATATTGAATAATCTTGCAAAGAAATTGAAAATATGACTTTGTTGTTGTCTTTATGTCTTTACGACTGTATATAATAATTCAGGAGGGTATTGACCTGGTTCCATACAGGTTTAATGTTTATATCCAACAATGATCTCCAGCCAGTCAGCGTTGTCCTTCACTTGGTCGATTTTATCTCTTAGATGACGGATAGCTTCATCCATTTCATCACGTTCAGTATTGATTATTTTCTGGACTTCGTCTTCATTTCAAGCAAATTTCAAGCAATTGCATTCTGTGGGAGTCTAGTTTATCTTCATCGGCCACCAGTTGACCGTGAAGATCAATCTCGTTCGCTTGACGACCATGGTTAAAAAATTTAAACACAGCGTCAGAAGCTCTCCTATTACAGATATTCTCCAAACTTTTCCTTGATTTCGGAGTACTATTTAGCATCTTCATAACTGTTAGTACGGTATGCATAATTTGATTTGAACTGCCAATTTTCTCTTTGTTTGTCGAATTTGGACGCTTGGTCGCGATAATGCAGCCCTTCGATTACTTCTGAAAAAACCTTGCGCACAGAAAGTCTTTGCGTTGTTTCAAACATTGTAAAATTAACTGGTACCCTTTCACGGTTATCCATGGCGACACTAATGTCAGAGTTTAGAAATCCTTTATTATAATCTTTCTGCAATATGCGATTGATGTTATCTAGGACTGAATGATCTTCGCTGATCACCATGTTGCAGATATAAAGCTTAGTATTGTCAACTTCTAAGTCAGAAAGATAATCGTTTTCTATGTAAGGAAGAATCTGAATTACGTCTAGCTGTAACGGGCTTCCCACCAACTTTCCTTTATAAAAGGCCTCGAGAAAACAATTGACTGTGTCGTCTTCAATATTGACGCATGTTTTAAAATAAGTTACATTCGGCTCGTTGGAATCGATGTGCTCACGACTCTCCACATTGTCACTTTGTCACTGTCAGTGAGTTTGCCTCAGATGGTTGAACATCAAAGCGGACTTCAGATCCTTCAACGAGGTTAATCCTTCCAAGGTCGTTAAAGTTTGGGATCAAAGTGTAGTTTCCAGCCACCGTCAGTGGAGCACATACTCAAAAAGTTAAATGGACCGTCCCTTAGGTGTATATTCTTTATTATAGCATTTTCACACACCAGTCATGTACTTCGTGGCGCTCCTTGTCATATCGTGCGCTTCCCATGTCATTGCCTCTCCTTTCAACAAGTCATTGACGCTGGGATATGACACATCTTTGGAAAATGACGAAGATAAAACGTACCCTCCTGGTATCAAATTTCTCGGTGGTGGCTACGATCTTATTAAAGGAAATCCGGACAATCGTCGTTCAGATAATGCAGGTGCTGACCCAGGCCTTCATCCTTCCAGAAGAATCTTGCATTTCACCAAAGGAGATAAAAAAACAATTCAGCGTGGATTTGACTTATACGATGAAATTKCCTATACTCCCCGAAGTGCTTGTGTCAAAGAGAAAAGTAACAGCATCGTGAAGGATACCCAAAGCTACCAAAACGAACTTTCAGTTGGTGTATCACTTGGAGGTATATTAGTACATCCCTTGCCGCCCTTTATTAGCATTTTCAATGAGTGTGCGATTTTTCAAAAATATGTACACCTACTTGCAGAAACGTTGTCATAGAAAATAGAACATTTGAATTTAGTAAAAAGGAATAAATTAAAACAAGACAAAAGAAAGCGTTCAGCCTCAGTGATCTTCTTTTGTCTTTTTTAATTTATTCCTTTTTGACTAAATACAAATGTCCTATTTTCTATGACAACGTTTTCGCAAGTAGGTGTAACTGGGAATGGGATTTTGAAAAAACAAACGAACTGGGAAATGGGATCAGACATCACCCTTCAAGGCCCTCTTCTCACAGAAAGGGGTGAAATGAGTCCGGAAAATTTTTCAAAATCTGGACGCAGTTGTAATATTAAATAGAATTTTTGACATCTTCTATAGCTAAGAGAAGCTTATTGAACATGATCTTTATCATTTCAGTGGTCATTTTGTGTTAGGCTTACAAATAAAATATTTAATTTTGGAGATTAAAAAATTAACGTTTACGAAATGCTAACCTTGTTTAGTTATGTCGTTTTTGTACTACAGAAGGCTTTTTCTAACGGTAAACTGTATGAATTTTAATAGTCATTTTTATGGAAATTGCTACGCCAATRTYTTTATATATTATTTTGGATTTTTTTACGTCCCATTCCCTTTCCCGTTAGACAAAAAATCCCAGTCCCAGTGCGCGCATCCAATCCCATTTTCCCAGGMAAAAATAAGTCAGATCCCCGTCCCATTTTATGACTTTATATTTGGAGTTATTTCAACTCWTTRAAAAGAAAAATTGTGTATTTTTATCATTTCTTCTAGCATCGTATGAAGGAGTCCTCGCTAAAGCTGCTTTTACGGCTAGTGCAGGTAACCCATTTTTATAATAGATACTAAT